GGAGAGCAAATGTTTTGAGAATGATGAGGGCAATGAATGTACAAATGTGCTTTACACAATTGATGTATGTATAGATTGTGATAAGAGTTGTATGAACCCCTAATAAAACGATTTTTAAAAAAAGAAAACAGTGTCTCATATAAAAACGGAGAGTGGTTGGTAACGGTTGCAAAACTCTGTAAATACATGCAAATCCACAGACCAGGTAGATATACTGTACAGTATGTCAAGGTATGTCATGGGTTAAGTCAAAAAATACTGCTGCAGAATCACAGAACCCTTAACTAAATACAAATATCAAAACGTGAGGCTTTATTTCTTGACACTTTCTCCATCTGGATCTATACACATCTAAAGGCAATGTTTCCATCCACCATGGATATTATTAAGTTGCAGTGCTAGCGTGCTTGAGGGACTCAAACCATGTTCCTTTTCATTGTTTTGGTTGGCTGGTTTTTCAGTTTGAGAGATGAAAAGAAGCCTGAATGGGCTGAATCAGAGCTGTTGGTGGATTGACAGCGTGGCTGCAATAATGGGCTCAAGAACAGAAGCAACTGTGAGGGTGAAGCAGGACTACATGATGTTGTGCAGAGTGTCGCTATGGGTCAGAACCGACCTGCTGGTACCAAACAGCAATGGCAATTATGGCTGCCACAACATTTCCCAATGAAATTCTCATAGGACAGCCCTTGGCACTCCAAATGAACCAGCAGGTGCAGTGTCGGGATGGAAAAACTCCTTTTCCTCATCAGTGAAGTTTTCCACCCTCTGAAAACTTCATTAATAAGTCCCCATGGCTGTCCTGTGTTCTAACGTCCCCAAACACGGTGTCGTAACCTTCCAAGATGATTGCTCTGCCTTGAGTTGAACTGGCCCAGCCGATTCCTAAGAAGCCACCTCTTTGATTGGACTTTTTTTTTAAGGCATCGTAATGAGACTAAAATGGATATAGTAATACTCCCTTTCATGTATGAGGAGGCTTTAAAAGTTTGTGGAAACTTTCCATTTACTTTAAATTCACTTTTCCATGAACATTGTGAAGACCTCTTAGATTATCTATCAATAAAGCTGTTACAAACCAATCTGATACCAGTGTGTACAAAATCAAGTGTGGAGGGCGGAGTACAAAGACCGGGATGGCCAATTAGCAAGTTATAGTACAAGCTTGGGCAGTGAAAAGGCAAAGAAAAGGATAGGTCAGAGACAGAGAAAGCCACACACATGACAAGAGATGCTTGGAGAGTGAATGATCTCAGAAACTCAGCTCTGAAAGGGCCCTCGGATTCCATCTGGTCAAATGAAGGAACAGCTTCACAGGGACATCCCCGAGGACCAGTTTCTGCATGGACACTCCCAGAGATGAAGCATTTATCGTAATACAGTTCACTCTCCTATTTGCCAGAGTTTCTTTGTGCTGAATGAATCTGCCCCCTAACTCTGGGCATCTGCCCCTTCTGGCCCCCCACCATCTACCAGTCTTTTCTTTTTAAGGCTTCAATGATTTATTCAAACGAGTCTAGTGTGTAACAACTGTCTGAAAGAATGGTGACCAACACAGACCCCTCGACATACAGGCATTCAGTAGGAGACCCTTCCTCTTGACTGAAGATGCTCTTAAACACAGAATAATGTAAAATAACACTGAACCTGAACCAACAACAAAGAGCTCGGTTGAAAAAATGCCATAAACAATGTCCAAATTGCAACCTTCGGCCATTCAAAACGCACTTATTAAGTGCCTGCTATGTCGCAGGAGTTGCTACAGTTTGAGGCAACCACAGGCCACATAGATGTAAGTACACAGGCTCACTAGCAACTGGTGGTAATGGCTGGGAGAAAAACCAGGCCCAAAGTACATGATCTGGGGATGTGCTAAAGTGATAGCGGAGCAGGTTAATATTCTGAAGGGCGTGAAGTAAAAGACTGTGAGCCAACGGGAAGAACACGAGGACTTAGGTTCAGAAAGCCTGGGTTCTAGTCCCTGCTCTGACATTCTACCCGAGCTGCCGGCTCCCTGTGCGCCTCATCTCTGAAATAAGGACAACACGATTTCTACGACTAAATAGTAACACATACACAAATGCTCCTGGGACTCAATAAATGATTGCTGTATGGACAGATCGCCTAGTGATGTCATTCACGAACCACATTAAACAGCAAGAGACGCTCTTGCCAAAGGTGAGACATTTGAGCACAGCCAGACACAATGAAAACAAGAAAACAAAGGCTTAACAAACATAATGATGTCTATAATAAATTCAGTGACAAATTATTTAATATGCAGAGTAATGTTAGAAATTAGATAGTACCACCTCTACTTTATAGCTCTCCTACTGGAGGCAGAGAAGGCAGGCCACCCAGCTTTTAAACGGTAAACCAAGCCAGACTCCAGAGCTCAAGCGCTTAGCCATGAAGCTACTGTTTCGCCGAACTACAACAGATGCATGTGCATAGAGTGGATGAAAGCGAATGTCACAGGACCTGCTCTCCAGGCCACGTCAATGGAAGAATCTCAAAAACGAAAGAGAGAAAGGTTTTAAAGACCAACTGAAGGCTGGTCTCAGAAACACCACGGCAGAGAAGAAGCCACCACCCAGCAGACGCGGCACAGATGTAATCCTCTCTAAACAGTGTCCTCAGGCCAGTGGTCACAGGCTCCCCGTAGAGCAGCTGCAAATGCTAATCTCTCAACAATGTCTCTGTGTGTGTGATATAAAAAGCATACTTGGTGAGCCAGTGTCGGCCTGCTACTAAAAGAAGCATTCATTTTTAAAAAATGCACTACCCGCAGCAGTGTTTTCAAATACAAAGGCCAGTGTGGTTCTGTGTGATGATGTCCTAACCAAACCCAGTCCCAGGATGGCTCGTCTGGAATGGCCTGCCCCACTGCTACTTGTTCTGGATCTTCAGTGGACCATCCAAATAAATCAGGAGCAGTTGCTGTTAACAAATGGGACAGGCACCTGGAAGGTTGCCCATATACCAACATCCTGACTGCATCAGGACCTCTCCCAAAAAACCTCAAACCAAACTAACGGCCAGAAAGTAGATTCTCACTCACAGCTACCCTGCAGAGCAGGAGAGAGCCATCCCTGTAGGTTTCCAAGACTGTAATTCTTCCTCCCGCTTCCGTGTTCCCATGTCCCCACCACCACCCGGCCAAGTAAAGTAAGAACAGCACTGTGTTTTCTTACAGGGAATTCTATTGATTCAATATCTTTTTGAATTAAAAAGATAAAATAAGGCTTAGAACTGGATCACTTGGCCCTTTCTCTTATCACCTCCCAGTTCAACATGCTTGCCTCTCTTAATGGCCAGTACCCTCTCAGGTCTGCAATTAGGCTTAACACATTCGAGCCTCAGCACAATCTGTGGTTTTAGCCTTCTTCCGGAAAATTCGTTTTGTCTGCCCACCATAGCCAATCTGCTTCCGATCCCAGCGCCTCTTCCCTTGTGCGACCAGGGAATCCTTGCCCTTCTTATACTGGGGCACTGTGGGAGGCTTGCCATGCTTCTTACAGAAAGTCCTTCGGGTTTTAGGTACGTTGACCACCTTTTCAGTGACGTACACAAAGTGTAAACTCAAACGAGTGTCTGCGATCCTCGCCTTGCGCCACTCCTGCCTCCAAGACAGAAATCTTTACAGGAATAGAAACCTCATCTTTCTCCAATCAGGAACCCTAGAGCACATTATTTCTGCAAACTCCTCCAGTTTAAAAGGTCAAAATACCAATTATTTCTTCCCCACTCCAAACCGCATAACTAACATCCCTCCCCAGCACCCCCCTCCAGCTTCATTATCAAGAATTATCTACCTAGGTATGAACTCGGATCCCTGCTCCAACTGCCACTCTCTCATTTCTAACCCCCACACCCATGTTCTCCATACAAACTCCAACTCTTCCTCTACCCCCCTTTCTATTCTGCACCGCGAAATTCTTTTTCTGAGTTGAATAAACTCACCCACCCTCTCAACTACTCCTTAAAATCTATTTATTCCTTTCATCTCCCTGATGCACCCAGACCAAATGACTTGCTAGAACATGCCAGCCCCGCCCCCTTCCTTGTACCTTTCCACGGATGTTCTCACTACTGTCCCCTCCACCCTAACCCTCCACGCTCACCTCCAGTGACCTTGCTCTCTTAGAACCTGCACAAACAACTCACCAGCCTCATCATGGCATTTCTACATAAGCACTCGGCCTTCCTTAAACGATTTTAACATCGGGCTCACAGTCTTAACTGAAACAAAAAATCTGATGGGGCGAATCGTCAAAAACATTTTTAAACAGCACAAAGCCCAAGCACTACATTAAAATGTAGGAACAAAAGCAATGAGGTAATGGACACAGTAATCTTCCTAAACATGTCCCAGGCCAGCAGGAGTCATTAAGAGGAGCAGGCTCCTGAAGAAAATCAGAGAGGAGTTGAGGGCTGGGGTGCGGGGAGGCTGAGCCATGAGACAAGGATGCCCTGGTGGTGAAGAGGCGTGATGAGCACTGTTAACTCTGCAGCTGCTTTAGCTTTCAGCCTCATCGCACTGCAGCAACGTCTTCATCTGAAATACCAACCGCTCCCTGACCTTCAAAATCAATAGTCTGGTTTCACAGCGTCAACCACCTTTTGAAGGCACTTCAAAATAGTCACCCTTCCTCTTGTAAAATATTTTTACATTACTCATCAACTGCACCAAGTGCTTAAAGGTAAATCAGAAAGCATTGCTACTAGGGTGTTATGCTAAGACATTGTACATATGGGCGTATTCCAAACAAAATGTGCTTACACACAGCTCTGTGACCAGCAGATAGCTGCAGACGTTCTCTCAGTAATGCCTGTATCTTACTCTCATTAGGGTGCTTTCAAAAACAAGGTTCAATCCAAACAGTGGGTTCTTCCAAGGGGATTTGCTGGGCCAGCTAAATTCAAGGCAGAGAGGTCAGCTCTGAAGGTTATGGTAATGGTTGCCTGGCACTCCGAAGAGAAAAGGAACATGTTGACAGACTTTCTCAAAGGATATGGGACTACCACAGGAGCTGATTATGAAGATGGAAACTGGAAAACTGCACTGGTGAGGAAGAGGCCTGCAGAGCTGACTTGAGGAGTTTTTTCTTCACATACAATGTGCCTGCTCATGCTTCAAGGGCAGCTGGGCCTGCCCTACACCAGTGTTGTTGAGCAACCGTACCATACGTGCCCTACGATCCTGATCTTTCCTCGTAGACTTCTTTCTGCTCCCCAAACTCAAAAGGAGCACAATGTGAGTCTCTCAAGGACACCAAGTCTGCGGTCTTGGCGTGGTGTGAATTAAGAGAGCAGAAAAGTTCATGAAGCATTGACAGAGATGGAAACACTGCCTTCATAATGCAGAGACCTAGACGGAGGGTAAGGGAAGGAACCATAGTTTCACCTTTTGATAGTTTTGGTTAACAAAGGCTGCTATGATTTTGCAAATAAACTTCTTGACTTATCCTCTTATTTATACGAGAGAAAAGTTGGAAGGGTATTACAATGGAAACAAGACTATTAAGGGAAGTAGTGACATATGTCAGTAGTTTGACCAAAAATTGGAAAATCAAAATTGAGTACCTTTCACATCTGGTCGGTATTGTAGTCCATCATCTTTCTTTCCCAACAAACTAATGTCATCTGTGTCTAAAAGGGAATACAGTTTCAAAATAAGGTAATGTTATGTTTCATTCATACCATAAAGCCCCAAAGACACCCCAAATGCACCATGTCTTTCCAAACCCCCTGACCAGGTCTCCTGATCACATTTTACCACCATTCCTTCATCCAATCGGACCATGTCAGTCTCAGAACACAAGGTATCCCAGGATACAAGTAACACACGGCTCATGGTGTATCAAATACCTATTTTTTTTAAATTATAATCTGAAAACTGATTAAAGCTTTATTTTAAAAACACTGTTAGTTACATAAAACATCTGTGGCTCACCTTAGTTGTAGAATCATCAAGATACACAAGCGATGAAGAGAAGATACTTATTCATGGATTTTTGCAATTAATGATATCATGGCTATTTTCAAACAGGAGATGGCTTAGTGGGTGGCTGAAGTAGCAGCTTACTTTGCTTTGCTTCATTTAAAATTTTGTGAGTTCTGAGGAAAACATGAGGCATTGCTATCTGTTTAAGCTGAGGTGGTCTGAATCTCTGTAGCACTTACTATACAGAAAGAGGGGGCTTTTGGCTGTCTCCCCACTCCACAGTCCACTCCCTCTTGATATAAAAACAAAACTAGAACGTAAGGGTTTAGCTTATGTCTGGTGTTCTAGCCACTCCCTATTTGTTAGGCGTTAAAAATATTTCATATAATTAGCCTTTTACATTCTGACAAAACATGTCTATGCTTAGGACAAATTCCAGATATTCTAATGGTTTTGAATATGAAGAAATGGAGTCTAGATGCCATTGTATATGAACTGCCCCACTAAGTCAAGAATAATAATTGTTTCACTTATTCTCTCTTTTCCCAGACAGGTCCGTTTGTTTCGCTATTGAATATGCAATAGCTCCATTCCCACCACGTACAACTCAATGAAAGCCTCACACATGAAAACTCTGTGATTTTTCTCACTACAAATTCTCACTTGGACAGCCTCCTCCTTTCTGTTCTGTGCATTTGTTTGCAAAGAAAAATACCTCTGGGAGGTCAACGGAAGGTACAATTACGTGGGAAAGAAAATAAAGAGTAAGACCCAATGCAAGATCAACAACTCAGACGGAGGTAAATCTGCATGAATGTAAGAAATGTCTCAAGTTTAGCCAACGACTCTGAATTTGCAATTGCAGGGAGTATCACGGACACTTGCAGTGTTAAGCTCTTTTCTTTCTAAGCTATGCTCCCTTGGCTCCAGATCTAGCCACCCATGAAAGAGGGACGATCCATACATCTTCAGGATGATCAGAGCTAAGTATAATATCTACCTGCAAAGGCTCTGTCAGCACAGGATTTCCTCTACATGCTCCATGCAACCCCTACCTAGAAATGACCCTCTAAGGACCTCTTTGATAGCTTAGACCCAAGTTCTTGCAATTTGTTGTGCTCAGTGTCACAATTATTTGTGAACAATGTAAAGTACCAAGTTGTGCTCAGTGTCACAATTATTTGTGAACAATGTAAAGTACCAAACTTTGGCTTACAATTTTCTCCCACCCATCTACCCCCTAGATCAGATAAAAACAGTCTCTCTCACGCTCTCTCTCTTTTCTCTTTTAAACATAGTCTCTTAAGAAGTCCAAAGGGATATAGGGCGGGGTCAGATCTAGCAAGAGGTAAGATGCACAGTCCTAGCCCATTATGAGGAAATGAAAGACGAGCCCAGCTCGCAAGTGAATCACGGAGGAAAGAAGGTTGTGAAGCAGTGGCTTCAGTGACTGACTATTTCTAGAACAGATAAAAACTAAAGCCCAATTTTAGTGGTATCATGGTTTCTAAGCTAGGGCAAAGCAAGAAGGGAAAACAGAGTTTTAAACTGAAGGTACTAATTTTTCCATATAGTCTATAATTTCTCTCCAAAATCTGTTATAGTACTTAATATTTATGGGAAAAAGCTACAAAAAGATGATATAAAAACAGTAGACTATGGTGCTCTTGTAAAAAAAAAAAAACAGATTGAGCAATACACAGTAACATTGTATAGTCTCACAGTAATTAAAATAAGTTAACTCTTAACCTTTAAGGACTATAAATTTATCTACAATGCTAAGATACAATCAGATTAATAACTAAGTGACCAAGAAACATGATTTGTTTGTTTTTTCTTGAGAAAATGAAAATAAATTATAAGAGAACTGAAGCTATTAGACCACAGACATTCTAAAATATATAATAGCAAGAGAAAATAAAACTTCAATGATTTCTCATTCTTCACCACTGAAATAAATAAAATTCCAGTCATATAAGAATAGGCTAGATCGCTGAATAAGTAGGATGAATTTACCTGTGCAATGGCCCAGATGCCTTATATCAATTTGTTCTTGCTTTATACAGGATGCTTCTCGAACAAAACAAGGGTTGTTATAGGAACTCCCATCCGAAGCACACACAGGATTAAAACTGTATCCACTGCAATCTATATTACACACACACCTGTTGGAAAAGACAAAATGCACCTAATCTTTACACAAAATTAAGTCACAATATTACAGCAGAAAGAGTAACTTCCTCCCTTATATTCCTGCTACCTGTAACAGAAAGTAATACATTTTTTAAGTCATTCAAGAAAGTCTAAATATTTACAGTGACACCTCAACAAAAAAATTGTTTAAAGTGAAGAGTTTGAGATGAATTCAGGTAAGTACTACTAATCTAGTGGTTTCCCTAGAATTTCCCTATCTAGACAAGATAATCAGAAAATGTCAGATGTCACCATTAATTAAGAAGCAACATGCAACAGAAGAAAGGAAACATAATTATAAAATCGGGGTCATTACATCTCAATCCTAGCCAGATGACTACCAGTGAAGCGTCCTGATTCTCCTTCCTACTCACCTGCAAAAAAGAAGTAAAAGAACATAGTAACCTACCTCCCTCACCAAACTACTGGGTCCATGAAAACCCATCACAGACACACAGTATGTACACCGAGAGCCTTAGAAAAGTGGTTTCAAGCTAGCAGTCAACCTAGGAAATAAGTGTCCACAAGGAGTACTGAGCCTTGAACTAGAGAGAAAGCCCAGGAAGCCCACGGCATGGTCCCTCCTCTCAGGAGGAGCTATACAAGCTAACTGAGAAAACAAAACAGAGAGGAGCTCTTGCTTCCAGCAATGTGGTGGACTCGACACCTGAACTAAACTTCCCACTGAAAACAGCATTCTCTTAAATAGACTCGTAAGTTGGCAAGAAAGAAAGGAATATGCAGGCCAACCGTTGAATGGAGATGGAGCAGAAGAAAGGTCAGCTGTGCTCACTAGAACTGACTTTTCCTTGGAAAACATCTAATAGACTGGGTAAAGTCCATTGGGAACCTTTTGGGGGTGGGGGGTTTTGCACACTTCTGGGGACAGGAGACAATGAACACTGTCAGAGCTACAGGGGGAACCCTTCACAGAGCTGGTACTTCAGCAAAGCCAGAACTCCCAGAACGAGGGTAAGCTGGAAGAGAGTTGCCATGCTCTGAGGAGTCTAGGGGTGGGGGTAGGGGTGGATAGCCTGCCTCAAGTCATGCTTTTCATTTCCTCTGAGAACTCATAACCACAAGCCAGCCATCACATGGATAACGGCGACTTAAATACTACCTGGTTGGTCTACCATAAAATCACGAGCTCACAATTTAATAAAGCAGTCAAGGGCTGAAAATGTCCCTAGTCAACTGACAGAAGGTGGAAGAACCTCCTCTGGAGAACACAGCTTTTTATCAGACATCAAAGATTGTCCACAGAGAAATTCTGAGTCCAAGCAGCAGCTCACACGCATAGACACCCTCCCTTCCTTCCAGCAAACAAGAAAATGAAACACCAGGAGCAAAGAGCCAAGGTGATTAAAAAAACTGTGCCCAGTCAGTTCTATAGATAAATGATTTTATTCCTAAGAACTTAAAAAAATCAATGAACAGATTTAATAGCAGATGAGACCAACTAAAGAGAATTTGGTGAGCCGAAAGGCAGGTCATAGGAAAGACTGTAGCACATAAGTTATCAAGGAAAAGGCTCTTCAATTTTTTCTGCTTTCCCAAGATTTTTCTTTGGGGCCAGCAAAAAGGGGGCGGAGAATCCTACAATCACGACCTCCTTTTAAAGCCTTCCAATATTATGCCAAGTTTGCATACCCCCTCCAAGATAATGTCCCTGGAAATGGGATTTCTAAGATGCTAATATTTTGCTTTTTCTATTAAGGAACAGTGTTTCCACTTCTCTCTACAAAACTCTGAAAAAACCATACTATTGGTTTCATATGTTTACATGTGAGCGCTAATGCATAGAGTCTGATGTATGTTTTAGAAAAGCCATACTCATTTGTATAAAAAATATTTCTACTCTCTAACACTCACGGGGTCACCGTGAACAGAAGAGACTGGATGGATTTGGTTTCTTGTTTTGTTTTCCGATTAAAAGAAGCATCACCACAAAAACAGCATTTTCGATGCTGGGGTGATGGGCATGTCGCTGCGAGATACTGTGACGAGCAAAACAGCATAGAGGTGAGGAAAAAGGCAAAATTAAGGTAAAAAATGCTGGTAAAACTGACATATTTTCTAGTAAATTCTTCTTGGATGAGGGACATGAGAGATGGGTGACAAAAAGTATGACCAAGAAAGAGTTCTTTGAAAATAATAATAATTTATAATTTATCAAGGGGTCATGGGGGGGTGGGGAGACTGATACCAAGGGCTCCAGTAGAAAGAAAATATTTGAAAACGATGATGACAACCTATATACAAATGTGCCTGACACAATTGATGTACGGATTGCTATAAGAGCTGTAAGAGCCCCTGATAAAAAAGTATTTATTTTAAAATAGAAAGAATTATTTCCTTTCAATATTCCCCTATGGAAGGGGAAGGTTTTTTAAGTAAATAAAGGCACTGGGGGGAAGAAGCAAATCCAAAGGCTTGACTAAACAAAATAGCTTTCCTATCTGTGGAAAGGTGAGGACAATATAGAATAAGGGGAAAGGGGAATAAAAAACAAAGGGTGGGGGGAGTACAGTTCAGCCTAGAATACAGGCACTGTCTGATGTTATTTTATTACATACACACAAGAGGCTTCAAAAAGTTCACAGTAAACTTCCATTATCTAGTCATTCCACTTGCCCACAAAGTTTTCGAAGCTCCCTCCAATATAAAAATCAGTGGTGGACTATAAAAATCAGTGGTGGAATGGCAAATGACAGCCCTGGGCCAATCCAGAGGGAAGCCTGCTTCTGCATGCCCATGAGCTACAAATAGTTTATGCATTTTTAAGAGGATTAAAAAGAATAGAAGAATATGCAACAGAGACGGCATGTGACCTGCAGAGCCTAAAATATTTACCATCGGACTCTTACACAGGGAAAAAAAAAAAAAATGCTGACCTGCTATTTAAAGGAGGAAAGTGGAGAAAACTGGGCTGGTAAGGACCTAGAAAAACCAGGGCTAATAGAAGGGAGCATACGGATTGTTTCAGGAACAAGACAAAAACTTACTGCCATGGAGCCAATTCTGACCCACAAAGACCCCACAAGACAGAGTAGACCTGTGGGTTGCTGAAGCTGTAAATCTGCACAGGAGCAAAAAGCCTCATCTTTGTCCTATGGAGCAGACAGTGTTTTCGAACTGCTGACCTTGTGTTTAGCAGCCCAATGGGCATCCCACCACACCATCAAGCTCCATAGGAATAAGAAAGCCAAAAACCTAACTCACTGCCACTGAGTTGATTCCAACTCATAGCGAGTCTGTAGCGGAGAGTAGAACTACCCACCCCCCATGGTTTCCAAGACTGTCTTTACTGGAGTAGAAAGCCTCATCTTTCTCCCACAGAACACTGGTGGTTTCACACTGCCGATTTTGTGGTGAGCCGCTCAATGTGTAACCACTATGCCACCACCATCAGGGCTCCCTAGGAATAAGACAAGGATGAGCAAATGAATCAAAGAGGAGCAAGTGATTTAAGTAGATTTAACGAGATGCCACACTAATCTGGGTAGGAGGAACAAGTGACTTCACAGCAGGTCTGACAGCTTAACAAGCACGAGTTATCAAGTGTGTGAAAAAGACCAGGCTCTTCAGCGGGAGGTGTGATGACAGAAACATTTAAGACAAAGAACTATGAGAGCCAACCCCTAACTACTGATTGCAGTGGCACACGAGGAAAGAAGTGAAATTAGAATCTCGAGTAAAGTTCAGCTCGGTGGGCCAACGAACAGAGCAGGGAAGGACCAGGTTCGATGACCACTGATACAACTGATTCGTGACTACAGATGTCCAGCTGGCGGTAGTAGCCACTGCCATCGGGATGCCCAAAGCACAGGAGGATGCACCAGAGATCACAGGCTTTGGGAACGATGGCAAATTCTAAAGCGCTAACAAATGTGTTCTCTGCACCTATGACCACAGGCTATCACCCCATTCGTCTCCGGAATCCTTATAACTACAAAGCATCGGACCAAACCGAACTCACTGCCCGTGAGTCAATCCCAACTTAAGGCGGCCCTACAGGACTGGGCAGAAATGCCCCTGTGGGTTTCTGAGACTGGAACTCTCTACGTGAATAGAAAGCCTCACCTTTCTCCCTCGGAGAGGCAGGTGGTTTCAAACTGCTGACCTTGTGGTTAGCAGTCCAATCCATAACCATTTTGCCACCAAGGCTCCTGAAGATAAAGGAAATTAAGTTAAAAAGTCCAGAGTTACACTAGTGGTGGCTGAGACAGTATTCTTTACTATTCTACAAATGAACATCGTATCATTGTTTCTGGTTCCCAGTGAGTCCATTCTGACTCACTGTGACCCCCCGTGTGTAGAGTCAAACTGCCCCACAGGGTCTTCCAGGCTACGACAGTTCAGAAGTAGACGGCCAGGCCTCTCATCCATCGTGCCTCCGGATGGGATCGAATCGCCAAATTTTTGGCTCGTAATCAAACACCACTTAGCAGTTTGCCCCACCCACTTACCATATAAAAAGTCTGCTCACTGAACTGCCAAGGCTTTTCTTGCTAACACATACCAGGGATGTCCCGGCCTCAGGGGTGTCCCTCTCCTGGAAGAGTCTCTCTCAGACATCTGTAAGGTTCAATCCCTCATCTTTCCTCAGGTATATTTTTTCAGGCAGGTATCGCGACTACTCTATGTATAAGGGAAATCCCTCTCCCTCCTTCCTCCTTGCTCAGCATCCCATCTAAACAGGAAGGAGTAGACAGTATCAGACTGGTCTTTTCATCATGAAAACGGAGCACTGAGTGTAAAGCAGTGCCTGTTTGAAGGCATTGGGCAGCCAGCAAAACAGGGCCAGGATTCACGAGAGCCTCACAGGAAGCTCCACATTCAAGCTGGCTGGCTCCCAGAGGGCATTTTCTGAATCACAGGGCAGAAAACCTGTGCTCAGGCCGGAAGTCAAAGTGCCACTGGTTAGAAGCGTTTGGTAGCGAGGGCTGGCAGGACAATTACAAACCGAGGG